ATTGCGCGCTCTTTTGCGACAAAATCCACCATGAAGCTCGATCCGGCAGTCATCAGGCTCCTCGGCCTGAACCTCGACAAGACGCACGTCTCTTCCGCAGGCGGAGGCGGCTCCAGCTCGGCATCGACGTTGAAGATCACGTCACAACTTGACGATGGCACGGATCAGACATTCTTCATGAAGACTGGGAGTGGGGAAGAGGCCGAGGTCATGTTCCAAGGTAAGCGCAACCTCTAGAACCTCCGGGCTGGCTAATCAACTGACAGCGCGATGAAGGCGAGTACGCATCCCTCCAAGCCATCCACGACGCCGTACCATCTCTATGTCCTCAACCCCTCGGTCACGGACGATATGAATCGCAGCCATCCACATCCTTCCTCGTGACTGAATTCCTTCACCTCACGGGACGATCGAGTTCAAAGTCGAAAGCGCCATCGCTGGCAGCTAAGCTCGCAAAGCTACATACCACGCCCACGCCCATACCAGAAGGCTGTGACAAGCCTGTGTTTGGGTTTCCAGTGACAACGTGTTGCGGCGATACACCACAAGATAACAGCTATAAGGGAAGCTGGGCAGACTTTTATGCGGAGAACCGTCTCAGATGCATCCTACGATGCGCGGAGCAGAACGGGAGAAGGGACGGCGACGTGAAGAAGCTGGTTGAGCAGACCGCGGCCATGGTAGTACCATGCTTGATTGGCGATGAACATCTCAATAACGGTGAGGGAGTGACACCTGTTGTTGTGCATGGCGACTTATGGAGCGGCAATGCAAGCGCAGGCGTCATTGGTAATAAGAAGGGCGAGGTTGAAGACGTGGTCTACGACTCGTCGGCATGCTACGCGCATAGCGAGTTTGAACTGGGTGCTATGAAGATGTTTGGTGGCTTCGGTGGGAGTTTTCTGAAGGAGTACCATCAGCTGTGTCCAAAGACGGAGCCCGTGGAGGAATACGAGGACAGGGTGAAGTTATATGAGCTGTACCATCATCTCAACCACTATGCAATGTTCGGGGGAAGTTATCGGAGCGGCGCGGTCAGTATCATGAGAGATCTTATCAAGAAGTATGGTGGTGAAGGATAAGTCAAAGAATTGATAGAGTGACAACGAGTGGTCAAGTATCTACATTTAAATGTACACCAGCGTCCTGTCGCCCCGTCCTCAACAATCGCATATGTCTCGCCTTGTAGCTCACACGGACCAGCAATGCGAGGTTACAAGACAACCTTGATCCGCCTAGGCAAGCCCAGCGGCCTGGATAGCGAAGGAAGCCGCTGCATCTGCACTGCTGCCGTAGCTGAGATGGCTTCCAGTAGCACCGCCATCACCACCACCACCGCAGATCTGATCAGCAGTACCGCAGAACTGCTTGATCTTGTCGGCTGAAAGACCGCTGATAGCCTGGCGCTTCAATGGGTCTCCGAACATGACAGCGCCGCTAACATCAGTGGCAGAAATGCCCTTGCTGAAAGCATTGTGAACGACCATGGCACCTTGGGAGTAGCCTGATACAATGACCTTGGTGTCGGGACATTGAGACTTGGCCTGCTTGACCAGATCGGCCATCTTCTGACCACCGTCGCCACCGAGGTTGGCGTTACCAGCAGCAGAGGCAGCGTAGTCAACACCCTGAACGGTAACACGGTCGTTACCCAGCTTCTGGCGGATAGCCTTGAACATGGGTGGTCCGGACACGGATCCGACGTTGCCCATCTCTCCGGTACCACGTGCGAAGACGATGGTCATGTCGGTGCAGCAGCTCTTGTCCACGATACCGTTTTCGCTTCCTCCGAAGGCGTTGGACGATCCAGATTGGGGCTTGCAATCTGTGCCGATCGTGCCGGCGCCGCCAGTGTTGCCTCCGCCCGTTGCGGCGGGTGCTTCAGCGGCACCAGTCTTGGAAGGTACGGGAACAGCGGCGTCAGCTGTTGTCGTAGCGCCACCAGCACCGCCTTCGAGGCCTCCAAGACCTCCAAGACCTCCGAGGCCACTGAGACCCCCGAGACCTCCACTGGAACCTCCGCTGGAACCTCCACCTAGGCCGCTGAGCCAGCTGCTCAACCCCGAGCCACCTGTACCGGTGCTGCCTCCACCTAGGCTGGGAAGGCTGGTCGGAAGTGAGAAACCTCCACCTCCGAGGGAGGGGATGCCGGTTGGCAAGCTGAATCCTGATCCTCCTCCAAGGCCACTAAGTCCTGAACCTCCAGTAAGGCCACCGAGGCCTGAGCCTCCAGTAAGTCCACCAAGTCCCGAGCCTCCACCAAGTCCACCAAGTCCTGAGCCTCCACCTCCGAGAGAGGGGATGTTGGTTGGGAGGCTAATTCCTGATCCTCCACCAAGGCCACCAAGGCCTGATCCTCCACCAAGGCCACCAAGGCCCGAGCCTCCACCAAGTCCACCAAGGCCACCAAGACCAGAGCCTGATCCACCAGTCGGTAGCGAGAAGGATGGGAGGGAGGGAAGCTGGGGATGCGGGAAAGCAGTTGCAATGCTAGCAAGAGCGAAAGCTTGAGCGGCGTAGAACTTCATCTTGCGATATCGTTCAATGAGTCGTCTGTGTCTGTATAGATCGCGTGGTTTGAAGAATAGAATGTAGGTGCACAGCACAATGAAGAACAAGACAGGCACGGAAAGCGAGTGTAGTAGAGATGGAAGCGAAAGTGCGGATCGAAGTCGATGCCCATCAAACTTCTGTTGAAGACCTCCATCTTATACAGAAGTCCAAGGCTGACTTCCTCGGGGGACCATCGCCGTTGAGTTTTGAAACATTGCTTCTGCGGCGGAATGTGATGAAAGGAATGCCATGGCGTTGTCCATCAACGCGACCTCGGGACGTTATTGTGGAGTCGTGGCCCCGTTTCGCGGGAAGAAGGCTGATGTGTACAGGGAAGCGTGCCCATGGTCTCCATATCTGATTACTGAATCTGTCGGGTGATCTTCTACGTGTTTCGTGTTTTGCCGGCATGCGATTGGAAGGAGTAGAGCGCGCGTTTCTGCGATCAAGGATGGATGTGGGCGCATGACTCTGGGTAGTAACGGTTTTGATCATCGAGCAGGATTCTCGTTACGTTAGCGGCGGATGGGTGCTAGGGTGGTGTAGCAACGTCGACAGGTGCTACATGTCATGAGTTTTGGATGTTGTGCGCAATATCTTCTTCGACGTATCGCATCGCGTCCAGACACGCGACAGTACTTCGCCCACAACTTGGAAGCCGAATGTACAATGTGTGCTAAACACAGCCTTTCGGGGTGGTTCACGCAAAAGATTCCGCTGTCAAACACGTGTGCAAACTCTACGTCGCTGTTTCCCAGCAAGCCATGTCGGCTCGGTTAGCTTGCTGCTATTCAATGCCTTGCATGTTCTGGAACTCGCCAGCGATCGACATGTGCAAGATGGCATCATCCGCTGAAAAGTCCAAGCATCCTTCATTTACCAGCTATAGTCTTCTCAAAGCTACAAACAGAAGGTAATTAATCAGGATCCCGTAGGGCTGTCGCATCCATGTCGACGATGCGACGTTGCGACCCGGGCCTCGGCAGCCACCATGTGGGCCGTTTCACGATGATGCTGGTGCAACATCATGCATGAATCGTGGTTCTGCTAACAAGAACTTCGAACGACCCAATAAGATAACCGTTGTCTACCTTACATCCGAGGCTGGCTTGTATGCATCTTGACGTCCTGTACACCTTCTCTTTTGATACGCTATCGCGCTATCACGACGACCTCGGGACTTCGCCCGCTGTAACGGTTAGACAGAGAAGGTTGAGCGAAGAGGACGATGACGTTGCAACATGTTTACTTCTCTCGCTTGCGCCTGAAAGTCACATTCCATTAGATCCTTGTGGGCTCGCACTCGAATTTAAAGTCTTTTCGCGGGGGACTTTGGGTGTGTACGTTGGTGGGTTAGGAAGTCGATGACGTTGGTTCCATTCCATCCTTCCTTCTTCACACACTAAACTCCAACCTATTCCCCGCAAAGTCCCTCGCAAAAAACCTCGTCGGATACTCTACACCCTCCGCCCCGCTATTCTTCACCCCAGGTCTATCCGCCTCCAACGGCGCCGCCTCTCCACCCCGCTCATGATGTTCCCATACCTTCGCTCTCAGCTCATTCAGCGCTTCTACACTACCAACCCGGAAACACGGATGCCGCGATGAAGAATGCGCAAAATCTTCTGGCTTCCCGATCGCGACGTGCACTTGTTGACCGGACTCGCCGATGTCGAACCACGCAAGCGTTGAGCGTTGTAAATGTGGTACTGCGCGTGGTGTTAGGCCGAGGGTGGTTGCGTAGAAGTCATTGGCGAGATGGAGTGTGTTTGGCGGGACTACGAGGTTGATGTGGTGGATGCTGGTTATCATGATGGGTTGGGATTGGATGTGCGTTGACTTTGTGTTTGGTAGCGGAGTTGTTGATGGGGTGGTATGCTGCGACTTGGCGCTGCGAGATGGGGTGAATGCTAGCTGCGGGGTGGAGGTGGTGCAGGCAAGCTTGGAGGCGAGGCGCGGATCGTCCGAGCTAGCGGGCCGTTGGAGATGGCATGTCGGATATCTTGAGCATCGCCTCTTCACACGCAGTCTTATTGTATACATCACGCTTGCACACACACGTCTTTACGATCAGTCCCTGTTCCGCGCAGAGTGTGAGAGAGGCAAGGATGGATGGAATTTGACTTTCGCTTTTAACGCCACAAGAACGTCTGTCGCCGGGAATCATACCTATAGATAGAGCGAACTGCATGATGAAGAACATGCCATCTCAAGCCAACAGCATCACCGCGACCAACCCAGCAATACTCGCAACAGCAGATAGACTTACACCCACCGCCCCCGCCCCACCCTTCGCATTCAACTTAACAACCGCCCCCGGAAAACTACACGTCAACCGATCCGGATTCTCATCTCTAACCCCATACATGCCCATCCTCTGCACCCCATTCGGACACGCAAAGCCCATCTGCGCAGGACAACTCCTCACGATATCAAAGCACATGTCCTCACACGGCTTTAGCTCTTTATACGGACCCGGCTCGATCTCACTATCGATCTTCGGATTTCTCGACTGGGTAAACGCAGCGCTATCGTTAAACCCCGGTATCATCTCGGGCAGCGAGCCGTTGGCAAAAGGCGTCTTAATATTCCTTGGGACGAGAGACGGGTCTGTAGCAGTCCAGTCTTCGCAGCGGGGCATGAGGACCATGCAGAGCCAGTTTTTGTATGTCTTTGCGCAGTCTTCGCAGGTGACGGCGAGGGAATATTGGGCTTCGGAGACTGTGTCGCAAGCAACCTGCGCCAGGGACTTGTTGAAATTGTCGTAGTATGTGCGAGCTTGGTTCTCGTAGATTTCGGCGAGAGCGGAGTCGTTGAGCTTGAATTTGGTGTTGGAGGGGACGGCGTAGGCGACCATGTCGCAGAATTCGAGGTCGAAGAGGACTTGGCAGGAGTCATCTTTGCATGTTGTTAGCATGATTCTGTAGACTGTAGTGTGGAATACTCACCAGCCTTGGTAGTCCAGTTGAAAGCCTGAAAGACCCTGCCTCCGCCTCTCGTCGTGCCCGTGCCAGGAATCGTGAGTGGCTGTTGACTCCCCTCAATGACCACGAATCCGTTGTATGTCTTCGCACTCTGCAGGTTCCTGACATGGAATTGGCTCTTGGGCATGTTGTCGTCACCGCCAATCTTATTGAACTTGGTGGTGATGCTCGTGTCGATGGTGAAGTTCCTTGTCGCGTTGACATTGAACTGCTCCTTAAGCGCACAGTAAGAGCGTTCCAAGCCCGTAACTGGAGTCCATTCGCCGTCCGGAAAGGCGTACATATGGAAGGGGTTTTGCGCCCTCCATCTATCGACCTCCGCTGTGTCGTTCGAACTGCTCAAGTTTTGTGATATGAAGAGGGTGGACTCGCTGTCCGTGTCGATCATGTAGAGGAAAGGTGTAGCGTCGTCGTAGCTATGGTACGGTCCGTCTGTGCTTGCGGCGAGTTCAAAATGCCAGCTACCAAACCAGTCCTCCTCCAGTTTTGGCGCCCCAATACCGATGTACACATCCGAAGTGGTGTTGAGCTCGAAGCTTGCGTAGCCTCCATCGAAGAGCACGCCCGTGATGTTGGTGAGGGTGTCTTGCGTCGCATCCGGGCCTGGTTGCTTGTTGCGCGGCGATGTAGAGACGTACATGACCAGCTGCGGGTGGTTTTTCCTTGCCTCCTTCGCGTCTCCGTTCGGCATAGGTTGCCGGCAGGTGTTGGCCGTGAGCCAGACGCGACTACTGTCAGTCTGTCGCTTTGCCAACTCTCCCATATCATCGTCACCAATGTCGCCCTCCTTTCCAGGTACTGTCGCATCTTCCAAGCCAGCTTCGTCAGAGCCATTGTCTGTTCCCCGTGCTTCCAGAGCATCCAAGGGAACATCAAGCACACTTCTCAGGCGCAATTGACCCTTCTCAAAGACGAAGTGTAACGTCGTTTCGGGATCGATGTCCTTTTCCGTCTTCTCATTATTCTTCAGCGGTTCCGGCGCTTCTGTCTGCCGTCCAATCAGGCTTCGGTCGAGATAGCTGAACTCCGGCTCGTAGCCATCGCTCTCTCCTCGATCGAGTCCCTCATCTCCAATGTGTGGTATATCTCCGCTGGTAAAGCCGTGCAGCGCGAGGCTATCAAGGGCGTCATGATCGGGCGTCGCGAGAACTTCGGCAGCATACGCGAGAGGTAAGAAAGGCGTCCATAGCGCGATACAAGCGCCGGTAGCGACGAGGTATGCGAGCAGTCGCGACTGCAGAGGTAAAAGCCTGGGGCGTTGCATTGCCCTCTCCGCTGCCTTACCGATAGAACCGGGGCCGCATGGGTGAGTGGTGGGCGCAGAGGGTGCGCTGGGAGGGGAATGAGCGTCAGGCGGTCGCACGTGTGAAAAGAGCGATGCGCGCAAAGGATGATGGTGCTTAGGAAGTTGGAGGGCAAAGAAGGTTTGGCGGGGCGTGGTGGTACTCGGGCTGTCAGGAATGTGTCGCGCAAGGGTCTCGTCGCCAAGACATGTGGCTTCCCGAGTCCGCCCTTCAGCCCCCACGTGGGCGGCATCACCGTTGCACCCATCACCATGTCGGACTCGTAATCACTCATTCGATACATGCGCAATGGTCATGTACACGTTGATTTATATATACAGTTCTCACGAACCTAGAACGAGCGAGATGCGATCGCGGCTATATACAGTGCATCTTCTTGACAACTTCCATCTCGACAAAGGCCTGGATGAAAGAACTACGCGTCCTACACGTCAACCATCTATGCAAGAGCAGGGCTAGCGTTCTGGAGCAACATCGCAAAGTAATCCTGGAACCAAGTACCAGCCTCAGGCGCAGGCTTGAACGCCGAGTCCTTGCCGCAGAAGCCATCGTAGCGAGCGGCAGATTGGTCGGAAGTACCGTCAGACTAAATCCTCGTTAGCGTTCTCTTTCTCAGTTGTTTACAGACATGTTACATACCTCGCCACCAGGCTTGACCCAGACAAAAGCATCGACAAGCGCGTTGTCGGTGTTGGTAGTGGGACGGATACCGAAGCCAGCGCCCTTGACGTTGCACCAATCTCCCCAAGCCTGCTGGCCAGTAGGCTGCTTGCCGCTGCGGCCGGTGTCGACAATGAAGTGAGCTGGGAAGCCTTCGGCCTTGAGCAGGGGAGCAAAGGCGTTGATGTAGCGCTCCTCGTCGCAGTTCTTGCTGCCCTGGGTGATGGAAGGGCAGGTAGCGATGCGGAAAGCGTTGTAGTTGCTGACGTTGGTGACAATACCACGGACGGCGCGGGGCGAGCCAGCCGCCTTGTAGACCTCGGCGTAGAGCTTTGCGGCAGGGCCAATGTTGGCGTCCCAGCCGAGCCAGCCAGCATGGCCTCCGTCGAGGTACATGTCGACGTTGGCGAAGTTGAGGCTCTTGAGGGCGTAGGCGGTAAGTTCCTTGTAGTAAGGGGCAGCGCGCGAGCACTTTTGGACGCCCATGTTGGTGATCATGTTGGCCAGGGAGTCGGGCTCGATGGCAAGGTTGATCTTGACGTCAGGGTACTTCTTGATGATGGCGGCAATCTTGTCGATGTACTGCGTCTTGTACTTCTCTACACCACCATCGTCAATCTTGAGCTCGCCGTTGGAGGCAAGGGCCGCGCAGTCACGGTCGGGCAGATCGTACACGACAAAGGTACCCATCAGCTTCGCACCGGCGGCGTTCTTGGCCTTGATGTCTGCCAGGTAGGTGTCCATAAGAGGGACCTTGGCCATCGTGTCCATCCACACGAACGAGCCGACCTTGGCCACGGCGGAAGCAGCGGGCTTCAGAGATGCGGCAAGAGATGGCATGGCCAGGGTGTAGACCTCAGAGGAGTAGTATGGGTTGGCGTAGAAGTCTTTGCCAGCGAAGGGGTTTCCAGTCGCTGCCGGAGCGGCCGTTGTTGTCGTGGCACGAGTGGTAGTGGTAGCCCGCGAGGTGGTCGCTTGAGGCAGGGCCTGGGCCACGCCAGCTGCGAGCGCAGCAGTGAAGAGAAGGTTAGACAGCATCGTGACTAGAGAAGAGAGTGTGATGAGGAGTGCGTGAGTAATAAGACGTCCGGCGAGCACGCATATTTGTATGCTGGAGCTCAACCCCGGTGCTGGCGATCATGAAGTCTTCATCAATATCCAAATTACTTCAGCCGGTGTGAATGTCCGTGATGCCGCCGCTGATAGGTTTCAAGACTTCTCCAGACAACGCTCGGTCATTTGATATGTTGAATTGGTACCTGCGCCCCCGGATCTTCTCGAAGCCCGCGAAGAACGTCCATGCTCATGACTCGGCCCGCCTCCACATTTGATGAAGGTGTATTGCTGCGGGGGTCCTACAACGGGTACTAGGCAATGCACTCCGGCTGCCGAGCAGGGTCCCAGGTCTGTCAACCGGTGGCTCGTGGGGTGGATGCTTGGAATGACTTGTCGTCTGCTGGAGCGAACGCAACTCTGAGGCTGACTAGAGACGTCTAGGTACTAGATCGCTCTTGACTTCATATCGGAACGTTGTCGCGTTCATGGCGGTCGGTCGTTGCAGCCACAACGGTACTTAGCGTGGCTGTAGACGTGAATGGATTGGTGATGCGGTTGGGCACAGTCGAGCGAAGGCGGAGCTCGGCTGCTTTGAGCCACTAGCGCGCTTCGACGCCAGACTCACGTTGTCTTACCACTAGACATCCTTCCTCAACTTCCATCGCGATACAACAATATGCCTTTATCGTTGCTCGACGTCGCGACGTCAAACACGCCCCTAAGAGGCGCCTACCTGTAACCCGGTTCAGTATATGAAGACAGGGCTCAGTGCTGCCTGGCGAGGTGTTGTTTCCCGGTTCACCTCGGCCACATTAATCTATTCTGCTGCGGCATGTATATTGCTCGCGCTGCCAACCAAGGGGTCATATGACGTCTCACGACTAATCGCCTGCGACTCCGGAGACTTGGGGCGAGCAAGTTGTTAATCAACTCTGAGCATGGTGTTCACTGTTCAGGATTTGGCAACGGGAGCATGCGTGGACTGGCACTACTGTAGCGACGGACAGGGACGAATTTGATGGAGTTCCGCTTTGCGTATCGCTGGCTTTCTTCACCACACTTTCACCTATAAGTCACGGAGGTATTTGTCGATAAGGTGTGAATTTGACCTGATAGCTTGTGGGTGTACGCCAGTCTCCGTTCCTGACCACCGAAATACGCGTTGGGCGTAGATGCAGTTGGGCCCACGCTGAGCCAAAGGTAAGGAAGTACTGCTTACTCGGCTTTGATAGTATCTGCTCTCCTATGCGCACGATCACGAAAGCCCAAGTCATGAACTGACTTCCTTCATAAACGCGTGGAGGCTATAGATGTGATGTGCACTTCCCAAAACGCACGAGGTTAAGCCACAAGAGAGAAGTCTTATTGCAGACTGAAGTACATCGGTTAGGTATCCTTAGGCGCATTAGACTACGCGTGTGGATATTCAGAGCAAAGACTAAAGTAGGCACAGGATGCGATAAGGTTTCCGAAGTCATTGAAGTATATACTACAAATCGTGATCTACAGCAAAGATCAACTCGTCAAAATCTTCCTTTCAGATCGCGTAAGCTGGTACGAAAAAGGATACCTAAATGCAATGCAAGAAATAAACGCCGCCCATATGCTCGAAAGGGTATCGTTTGTACCGAATGCTTTTGATGGCTGGACGGAACCAGACCTATGCATGCCCCCATGAAACGCCAAATTCATCGTTCCGCACGTGACGACAGGCCGTGATAGTCCTCTTCTCTAAGCAGAGACCAGCGGCCCGTGGAAATCTCTCAATGTAGCGACGAGGTCGTCTTCGCGGGATAGCTGTAGCAACAACTTTTCTTGCACCTCTTTCCATTTGCGAAGGTCGTCCAACTCGCGTGGGCTCAACCACTTCTCTTCATTGCCGACTACGTCGGATCGCTCGGCTTTGGTAAGGGTAAACTCAATCTTCTCCCGCTCGTATTCTATACGTTGGAGAATGCGGACCATACCCTTGTAGGTGTCGTGGAGTAGCTTTTCGCGGGCGCGCTGCCGATCGTACCAGACAAGGTGGAGGGAATGCTTCGCTTCGCGTCGGTCGACCTTGGGAATCTCCTGCGTCTGGACAAAGCCCTGGATGGTGAGGTCGTTGACTATGCCGCGAACGTCGGCGGCGGGCATCATCATGACGTTGCACATGGCGCGCTCGTCGAGCTTGCCCTTCTTCTTCAACGCGCGAACCAGTTTCACGCCCAAGGATCCCTTCCTTGCAGAGATGGTGTTCTCGATCTCGGTCTGTATCATCTGCCGCGCGATCTCGTCGAACTCAATGTGCCATTGCGAGAATCCGGCGCGAGAGTGCCAGGTGACAAAGTGAAATGGGTCTTCCGCCAGCATCTGTATGTGCTTGTCCACGACCTTGGTCCTGTCTTCCATGTTGAGAGTTGCGGGGTCAACTGGCTGAGTCCAGATTGTGGCTCGATTGATGTGCCCTTTGCGAGTCATTTGGGCCGCTGCGTTCGGATCGAGGCCCTCGAAGATGTCCAGATCGCGCTCACGACTGAGCTTCGTGGCGACGTCGCGGGCGGTTACGAGGAAGCGGGGGTCGATCGAGTTCTCTCCAGCTTCGCCGGCAGGTAGCGGTGGGTCAGGCCACTCTTCCCAACAGCGGGGTGTTTTCGACTCGAGCATGCGCAACATGGTCTGGTAAACGCGCGCAGTAATGGAGCCAAGACGCTGTTGTACCAGACTCACCAGCTGCTCCGTCCGCATGGCGACTGCAATCTTTTCCGGGTTAACGCGAATAACAAGGTCGTCGTCTGATGATGGTGCCGCCCATCCGTTTGTGCCGTTCACACCGTTGATCTTCACACGCTTGTTGGAACCATTCGTCTGTCCATTTCGGGCGAACTTTGGGACCGTCAGCCATTCGTCGCGCATGGCCCGTTTACGCTGCAAGGTCCCTCTGTGGACGATGTCCTTGTCTTTGGTGCCCGTGGGTGTGACGCCATTATTGTCTTGCTCGATGGACTCCTGATAGAGCATGTCGTGCATATCGCCGGGGGAGAGGTATTGTGTTTCGGTGACTGTCCTGATCCAGCCGCGCTCCATCAGCCGCTGGATGATTTCGTACAGCTCCTCGACGGAGCCAATGTCGCTGTCATCCTGTTCTTGTCCGGGCTCTTCTGGAGCGCTGTTGTGGGTCACGCTGTCCACCTTGAAGGGCTTGTGCACGCCGTTGGTCTTGCCGTGGCCGTTGGTGAGTTCGGTGGGATCCGGTTTCGAATCGTCCAACTCAGAGGATATGCCGTTCGTGACGCCATTCGTCTTCGTTGTGCCGTTGACGTGAGTGCCGTTAGTCCGTTTCCGCTTCAAGCCGGCTCCGTTGGCCGCGCCGTCGTCGGAGTCATAGTCGCTTTCAGTTTCGGAAGGGAAGTAGGCTTCTTTCAAGTCGGCGATGCGTGTGTGGCCGAGCGCGAGCAGGTTGGACATGACGTTGGCGGCCTTTTTGCCGTCGCGGTCTTGGACGAGCTTGACGATCTTGCCGAAGCGGACGATTGCGTACGAGTTTTGCCAGTCGATCTCGTAGTAGGTCAAGGGCGCATCGCTGCCGGAGTGGAAGATGAGGTGCTGCTGGAGGAGGATGACGAGGCCGTACTTGATCTGGCGCGGGTTCAGGTAGGAGACGCGTGCGATAGATGCGAGACTCTGGCGTCCATGGCGCGCGAGGATCGAAAAGACCCGCTATGACGAGTTAGAAGAGTGTTCTTGAATGCGCCCGTCGCATGCCTGGATGCAGAAGAGAACTGCGCCCGAGCGCGACGATGCGCAGGGACTTGGTTCGACAAGACATACTGCCGCGAGTTCGCCGTATACATCGTTCACCAGGGAGGTGCAGAGTTCAGCAAGGACCTGGAGCGTGGTTGGTTATGATTCATGTGACATGGGCGAGGCGCAACGGCGGCGCGTCTTACCGGAGTCTCTCGCTGGTTGTAAGACATGATGGAGCCTAGATATTTGCCAGATATCTAGGGTGGGGTAATGCTACCGGGGAGACATTGGCGACGCACGGGGAGAACAAAGCTTTGGTAGAGAGGGAGCGAGGGTTGAGCAGCGACAGTCTTAGCGACTAGAAAATGATACCGGGTGGGGTCCCAGCTCCGGCCAATGGAGCGGTGGTAGATGGCACTTACGGGGCTTGGCGGCCTACGAACTTTGTGACGGGCATCTCGACATCCGCACCACCAGACGTCTTTCCATCCATTGCCGTCCCCCGCACACCACCCAGCCCTCCGCCCGGCGCCCACACTACGATGCTCTCCCGAACGACCGCCTGCCGGGGCGCGCAGCGTGCAGCCCGCCAGCAGCCCGTCGCCCGCTGCCAGCGCCGCGGCCTGGCTGCCCCAGCTTCAGGCTCCTTCAACTACCAGGCCGGCGAGGCCAAGGGCGTCAAGTACGCCAGCAGAGACTTTGCCGGCCCCACGACGACGCTGGCCCTGGTCGCAAAGGCCGGCACGCGCTTCCAGCCGCTGCCCGGCCTGACCGAGGGCCTTGCCAACTTCGCTTTCCGGGTACGCTGAATTGAGACTGCCGATGCTATGGAGAGCGAGACTGACGCTCCGGACCTCTAGGGCACCGAAAGACGGTCGACGCTGCGCATTGTCCGCGAATCCGAGCTCCTGGGCGCCAGCCTCAACGCCCACCACTCGCGCGAGAACCTGGTGCTCGAGGCCAAGTTCCTCCGCGATGACCTGCCCTACTTCGTCGAGCTGCTCGGCGAAGTCGCCAGCTCCACCAAGTACCAGCGTAGGCTCCACCGATGATTGAGACGGATGAGGAATTGACACTGTGCAGCCCACGTCTACGCCGAGGAGGTGCTCCCCATGATCCACTTCGCCCACAAGAAGTTCCTCGCCAGCGTCACCGACATGGCCACCCAGTCCGCCCACAGCCTCGCCTTCCACCGCGGCCTCGGCGTCCCCACCGCCTCCGCTGCCCCCACGCCCTACACCAAGTACCTCGACGCCGAGACCATTGAGTGGTACTCCAAGATCGCCTACGCAAAGCCCAACTTCGCCGTCGTAGCCAACGGTGCTGACCACGGCGAGTTCTCTAAGTGGGTTGGCGAGTTCTTCGAGAACGTCCCCAGCGCCCCTCTCCAGGAGTCCAACACCGGTGCCGACCAGTCCAAGTACTACGGTGGTGAGGAGCGTATCGCCCACGACAGCGGCAACGCCATGGTCATTGCTTTCCCCGGCTCCAGCTCCTTCACCGGCAAGTTCTACAAGCCCGAGATTGCCGTCCTCAGCTCTCTCCTCGGAGGCGAGTCCGCCGTCAAGTGGTCGCAAGGCTTCACCAAGCTCGGCCAGGCCGCCGCTCAGGGTGCCAAGGTCAAGACCACCAGCGCCATCTACTCCGACGCCGGTCTCCTCTACACCACCATCACCGGATCCGCCAAGGCTGTTGCCCAAACCGCCCAGGCCGCTGTTGATGCCATCAAGAAGATTGCTTCCGGCGAGATCTCAAGCGAAGAGGTCTCCAAGGCAAAGGCCGCCGCCAAGTTCAAGGAGCTCGAGCACGGCCAGGACATCCGCGCTGGTCTCGAGCTTACTGGCAACGGTCTGATCCACAACACCCAACCGTACCAGATCGACGAGGTTGCCCAGAAGATTGACGGCGTAACAGAAGAGTCCGTCAAGAAGGTGAGTCTTCACACCATTATTACCCAGGTGCTATGTGCTAACAACTACGTCAGGCTGCTAAGGAACTACTTGAGAGCAATGCCTCAGTATCATCCGTCGGTGACCTTTTCGTACTCCCCTACGCTGCGGATCTCGGCCTGAAGGTGTAAATACAGTGATTATGTAGCGCAGTAGATGTGGAATCTCGTTTGTGTAACATTATCTTGTGATAGTCCCTGATAGATGCATCTCGTATGAGAATTCTTTTGTTCAGACTCATTGCATTTGACCCAAACATGTTGATGTCTTCCTATGAGACGATTATCAGGTTTCAATCATTTCATAGCCCCTGTGCAAGGCCTGTGTTCATGAGTGTGGCGTTCAGTGTTAGCCTTCCACGTGCCAGCGCGTCAAACGCACAGACCCGGCTGCACGCATCGACGTCAACAGACACGTCTACCCACGCATCCATCCCACACTGTGCTCAACAACCCCGTACGCCGCGCCCGTTACGCCAGAAAACTCCAATACATCATCTATCAAGCTATCACAAACATCTCGCAAGCAACAAACGCACGCCATGGCGCCGACCCTCTACCCCCGCGGCACCGTCAAGAAGATCGTCAAGGCGCATTCCAACAGGCCGTTGAGCAAGAATGTGGATATACTGGTACGTTGATGCGATGAGTAGACGTGGAGATGAGAGATTGACGTGCGACGCAGATATACCTGAACTATGTGCTGTTTATGCAAGAGTACGTACCTACGATGTCCATACTCCACTCCACGATACGACGCGGTACGATGCGAGGCGATGCGATGCGATGCGCTACCTTCGATTCACATCACATCACGGGACAATGCGACGAAGCTCGGATGTTTTGAAAGGGCAAAGAGCTAGGAAACGCATTCGTGCGGTCGATGGACGGATATGAAGCAGGGAATAAAAGGAGAAGACGGGAGCTGACAATACCCACAGACTCGTCAACGAGGCAAGCATTAAGAGCAAACAACGCGGCGAGCGGGGCTTGTCCGCCAAGAGCGTCAAGAGGGTTAGCGAGGATGTGTTGAGGAAGTACAAGGGTTGAGCGTGGTGGGCTTGAGGGCATGAGCAAGGCGCTTGCGGATGGATATACTATTTGTGGAAGATGGGACTGCGGCGGATGGCATGCCGCTGTAAGACTGGACTTTGTTGACTAGTCGGTCAATTGCGAGGGCGTTTTGGGGGGTTTCGTTTGGTGTTTGTGATACCCGGGTATATGTTTATGGCGTAATAGGAATGATATGTCTTCTACTAGATGCTGTGGAGGATCAGTCGTGGTATTTGCAAACATGGAAAGATACGGCACTCTGCATTGAGTTGATCTGAAAGGATTCGATTTGAGAATCGCTAACTGCATGGAACTTGGAAGAAGTGCCCACCTGCAATCAACCTGAGAAGAATGAATCTCTCGTCAAACAGGTTCAAGCTATGTTCTACCGAGAATCAGAACTAGTTGTGCTCCTACTACCGTGTGTTCGTCCAGGCTTTGCCGAATGTACACATTTGGAACTATCGCATACCCCTTCCCGTCGTTATCAAAACCCAAGACAGCTTTCCTCGCTCATGAAGATCTCCCCACTTGCTGGTACCAAACGACGTGGATTGGAGCTAGCTATAGCATGAACTCGCAAGAGGTATTCACCTCTCCCGGAACTCAAGAAATATTCCCCTCCCTAGACAATAGGGAACTTAGACAAGTACACCTGACGCTTGTTCAAGACATTCAAGAACTCATCGTAGTAGCTTGACTGTGGCACAAGATCTCTGGGATCACCTTCTTGGAGCCGTTCCGGACACCTGAGTCCACAGTAGAAACCGCTGAACTTGCCAGGCAGGGAACTGGAATCCTCGATGTTGTAAGGAGCGAGTAGGTGGGCTAGCAGGGCGGCCTGACAGCGCAGTTCCTCCTGGGCAGCGTGGGTATGGTGACTAAGCACTTGGTTCCAGATGTTCATGGCTCGATGGAAGCCAGCTGCTTCCGCTACCTGAATATCCAAGTCGCGACGCTGCGCGACTAGACGCTGCTCTGCTAGACACGGCTCGGCTGGATGCTGGGCGACTGGAGGCTTCTCTACCGGACGGGGCTCCACTTTGATCAACTTGATTGCAACAAGTTGCTTGGCGAGCTCTTCTCCGAAGCATTGGTCGATGCACCGGTTTGGCAGTCCACTCCAGAGGCTGAACTAATGACACTTTAGTGATGCATCCACTGTAAGACTGCCGTGATTCACTTACATTGAATTGACGAGGGTTTTGGGCAATGATTGCTTTGTCGCTGGCGTTGAGCTTCGCTTGAGAGGGCACATTAGTTCCTGCGTCGAATGCTTTCATAGCTTCGAGTGCGGCATGGTCAAATCGCTTCTGCTTGTATGCAGCGATCGCATCGGACAAAGGCGCCATGTTTTCGGTCGAGGTGAGGTATTGCGAACAAAGAAAGTGGTCTCTGAAAGTTGGAACGTAGAGATGAAATTGTGTGTTGTGTGTGGGCTGAGGAGCAGAGGTGAGAGCGCGATAGATTGCTTAACAGGCAGGCGCGTCTTAGCGTGGTTATTGAACTCAAGGTGAGTCTCAATCGGGAAGACACGGTGACCGCGCGCGCGTCTTAGCATCTTCTCCTGCTTTGCCGATATGAAGCTGTTAGTTCTTGGGGTTCTACTATGTCTAGAGCATCTTATCAATCATCCATACAAGCACTCCGACGTCTATGTGGTCTCCTTGAAGAGACATTCTTGAACAACTAGCTACTGTATTCAAACACGTAAGATTTCTACACATCTTGTAGTAACGAACTCGAGACACAATACCTTGTGAGGGTGACTAGTCTCCTCCGTTTTTCAAGCGTTCAACCTACTATTTCAGCTGTCGAACTTACTTCTCAGACTGGTCGCGACTGTCGCAAGTGGTACCGTACTTAATCTCGAGCTCAGCGACTTGCTGAACAAGTCTATCGTTAGCCTTTCGCAAGTCGTCTTACTCAGAGGCAACGCTACTAACTTGCTCTTGAGACTACAAAGACATAGAATTAATGTCTGTCTCACATGCACTTTATACGGTCAAAGCTTACATTTTCTCGAGCGGAAGTAAAACACGTATACCTACAGCATGCGCTGATGCAAAGAGGTTTTCCAGCGAGCAACAAGCTCACTTACAATATCTTCTCTATCCTCCTCTGTAAAACACATTCGAAGGACTCCGTATTCCTCGATGCTGTTGTCAATTACCTTGTAGTACCTCACCGTGGTATAGCCAGCAGCACTAGTACGCGGGGACTCCGTAATCTACGCCCTTTCTCTTTTATTATTTCGCTGCAGAAGAAGTACGTACAGGCTGGTCGACTACAATGTTGACTGTGAAGAGACACGAACTTGTCTTGAGGGATACATGTAGACATTGAACCCGTATTGCAACTTCTAGTAGTTTTCTTCGCATGATCACATATCGAAACACTTCTTCTCCCATCTCGCGGGTGACACAGGTGGCATTGAAACGCCGCGCATCTTTCGCGCAAAGACTGACATGGTATCTCGAACCCTTACAGTACATGATGAGGCCCCAGCCATATTGCGCCAAGAAATGCAAAAGATGATGCTTCGAAAAAGACATGTCGAAGGAAAGAGCCCCAGCACAACGCATCCCTCCACCTAACTAACCCACAACATCGATATCACCATCAGCATCGACATCCTCCTCGCCCTCAGCATCAACATCACCATCCGCATCCACGTCATCCGCGCCTTTCAACGCAACCGGCAACTGACCCCTCACCTTCTCAAACTCACGCGCCGCCATCTCTGCCTCAACCATAAGCCCATTCCGTCTATACGTATTAATACACAGACCCGCAACAACAGCCGCCCACAGCGGTCTATGGACTTTAACCGCCTGTGACCTCGCCGCACGAATAGCCTGGATACTCTTCTCGCCGACAGTCTCGGCGAAGAAGCGCGCAACAAAGTAGCACATCATCATGGCGACGAACTCGAAGTTCTGCGTTCGCTTTGAGATCTCTTGGGCCATGCCTACGGCGGACTGGACAGTCTTTTTCTGTTGCAGGATGGGCGCGTCTTCGCTGTGATAGGCTTGGACTAGGCGGAAGGCCATACGGATGTATTGGTTCGGGTGGTCGTCACAGAGGGGTTTGATTTGAGCTAGAAGGAGGGCTGCTTGGAAGTGTTGGGGGTGTGAGGCATCGCGGAGGATGAGGAGGCGGTTCAGAGCTGCCATGATTGCGATGTCTGTTTTAGCGGGCGTTGCATGGCCCTTCTCCGGTATCGCGAGGACGTCCGAGGACAATGCTGCTAGTGACGAGTTGTGGGATCCGTTGATCTGGTCGGTGATGGCAGAGAAGTAAGCGAGCGTACGAGCGAATGCTTCCTGGTTGTTGTATGGGGTCGTCGAGATCTTCTTCTTGAGGAAACCCAGCGCATCGTTGGCGGTTGCATGATCGTTCCTAGTCTGCGCCATGAGGCCGATGGCGAACATGGAATACCAATCCAGTACCATGTTCCACTCGATACGTGCAAACGCGATAGATATAGGGACGCCATTGTAAACGCGTCGCTTCGCCGTCTCTCGGAAGCGCTGATGTGCTTCTTTCATGAAGTTCAGACCCTTCTCATGAACATGTTGGTCCAGAGCGCAGATATGGAAGCACAACGCTTGAAGATCCTCCTTCGGAAGCCATGCAAACACCAGTTCGTCCTTTTGCTCCGCGTTCTTTCGGAAGATGCCAGCAGTGTCAAACGTCAGGTGACCCCCAAAGCTCCGCTCAATGAGAACAGTGAAGACGCCAATTTGGGAGCTGCCCTGTTCGTTCTTGTCACCTAGTATGGATTCCAGAAGCGCGGTAGACTTCTGTGGGTTGGGGCTGCCTTTCTGGATACCGCTAGAAATGTCAATAATGTCGATGAGAGTGCCAAACGATCCTAGCTGCTTGGCGGACACTTGGAGCTGCAGGCTTCTGGCTGCTGCGATGGCGCGTTGGGCTTGTTCGAGTCGATCGCTTGCACCCGAGCGTAGATGAACCATCGCTTCGAGTACGTGACAAGCGACGTAGATGGCCCGATCACCCCGCCGGTCCGCGTGATCTTGTATAGCATGGAGTTGCTGGAGAGCCAATGCCACCTCGACACGACCCGGTATCTGCAGTGCGAGTGTGACTTTGAGAAACCGCAGCGCATACACCCAGGCAATGTGTTGAAAGGTCTCGGCCTCCTTTATAGGCTGATCGAGTGACTTGAGGCCGGCGCGGTGGTTGGTCTTGAACTGATATCGTGCTTGGAGATGGAGGGCAGCAAACTTCAGGTCTTGCAGGCGATGACGTCCGCAGAGCGATATCTGCTTCGATAGAATCTCCTCGATCCGACTGGAGATGTCCGCGGCCTCGATATCCGTCTCTTCAATCATCAAGCTGGCATACCTCAACCGCAGTTTGGCTTCGTCCCTAGGCGGCATGTTGAAGTCCTTCAGCACAGTATCCATGCACCCCATGGCGGTGGACATTAGCTTGTAGTATTGTCGGACATCGGCCTCCCTTCTCTCCCTTATGAGCAGCGATCCCATGCCTCGCGCGACTGCGATGTATTCGTCCGCAGCCGTAAGCAGTAGTTCGGAGAGCTCGGCAGGAAGGGCCTTCTGGGGAGGAGGATGGGCGCGCTTCGTGGGTGTAAGCTGATGCAAAGACGATGCTTTTGGTATAACGACTTGGGGATGCATTCGTGGTTTGGACGAGGGCGGCTGAGGGAACGGACTGCCATACTGGCTCGACGGTGTCCGAGACTGTGGGGGTACGCGCTGTTGTTGGGGCGTCGATTGAGGCGGTCGCTGTTGCTGAGGGGTAGATTGTGGAGGTCGCGGTTGTTGAGGAGTAGATTGCGAGGAAGGACGTTGTTCTTGAAACGTGGGTTGTGAGGGCATACGTTGCTGCTGGGGCGTTGACTGTGACTGTGGGGGTCGTTGTTGCTGAGGAGTCGACTGTGGAGGGCGCTGTTGTTGGGGCGTCGATTGCGAAGGTCGCTGCTGTTGAAGGGTGGGTTGAGAGGACATGTACTGCTGCTGAGGCGTCGACTGCGAAGGCACACGCTGTTGCTGAGGCGTCGTCTGCGGTTGTAGAGGTGCTCGAGACTGGGCTTGACTGTGCGAAGGAGCGACGACGGGTCGCTGCTGTGGCCTGGGCCCGTTCTCTTGAAAGGACGGCGATCGCTGCACTGGCTTGGAACTGGGTGTATTGGGTGCCTGCTGTGCGCTATACCGCCGCTGTTGGTCACCCGAGCCGTCTGTTTGCGCCATGCCCGTGCTGCCTGTTCGCTGGACCGGCACCTGGACATGTCGGATTCGCGGGGGCTGCATCTGCGGCATGGGGGCATATTGCTGGGTCCTCGGGGGAATGACAACTTGAGGCTGCCGCTGGTACTGGGGTTGCTGTGGTGGCTGCATCTGGGGAGGCATTGGCGCATACTGCTGGCTCATGGGTCGGGGCATGCTGGGCTGTGGCGGCAGTTGGTACTGCTGTGGCTGTGACTGAGGATATCCTTGTGGCGCCTGCATCTGCATGGGAGGGTACTGAGGGTAGCCATGTTGCTGGTAGACGTTTGGCTGCTGCTGTTGCGGTTGCTGTGGAGGCGGCGCATACGGATTGTACTGGCCGTTCGGATAGCCCTGGGGCTGCCAGCTGTATCGCGGATCCATGGCGGGGGATGGTCAGGAGGCGGACGGTCACCGAGAGTCGAGGTACAGGCGGTGCATCGTGGGCGAAAGCGGGGTGTCGACGTGAGGACGTGTAATGGGCAGTCGCGAACTTGGGCAATCGCGAACGCGCCAGTGCCGTTGAGCGCCATTGGCCCACAGACGCGCGCTTGCTGCACCAACACATGCAGCCTAGTCGTAGCCAGACCGAGGCCCAATTCTTTCAACCTTACGTACGTATGTGATTCTAGATAAGACTTTCACCATCTCTTTGTCAAGGTCAATCCATATGGAAGGTCCTTCTTGAAACTGAATTCAACAAGTACATCAAAGATATCAGCCATTGATCGACTGGGTGGGGGTACCGTGAAAGAGCCAGGAACAGGACCGAAGGCGTGTAATACCTAGTGCTGAGGTGGGATTTTGATCCGTGGTGTCTTCAGAACTCATACAAGATCGTATCGCCTTCTCGAATCTAGACCGGACAGAACTCCTTCGAACCCATCATGTCTTGGCTCCTCGGCCACAGCAAAACGACCTACACCTCCCATGCCTCGCCAACACCCCTCCAAACCAAGACCGGCTCAAAAACAAACCTGAAAGAGATCGCCGAATCCTCAATCCCACCATGCCGTCTGAACCCCCTCCTCTTCAACGGCCATCTCCAGACAATGTACACAGCCGTCAAAGACCCCGGCCCAGAAATCTACTACAAG